GCGGGCCGCAGGGCCAGAAGAGGCGGGGTTGGCTGATGGGGACCAGGACAAGTCCTTGCCCGGGCTGGTGAGCCGCATCCTGCACCTCTGCTTTCTCTTTCGCCTCAGCCCCCAAGCCAGGACACAGAGCCCTTTTCCCATGCCAGCTCCCTTGGCTGAACATGCGAGATAAGATCCAGACCAAGAGAGCGGGGCTGGGCTTGAAAGGCTTTTTCCCCCAGGGTGTTCTTAAGGCTGGTGGAAACCTGGCTTCTCCCTGCTGTGGGAAATTCCAGCAGCCTCAGTTAGGATTTTGTTCCTATGGAGTGAAACCCCCCGGATTTCCATGGAAGCCGCTTCACAAACACATGGTGAAACCCCCAGCCTGTGACTTCAGCCTCTGCCTCTATTGCAATAGAAGAGAAACCCCGTTCCAAGGAAACAAAATTAAAAATAAGCCCTAGGAGCAGCCCCGTCTGATCCAGCTGGAACAGAATGTGCTGCATCCCTTGGGATCTGGCCCCTTCCCCACATGATGTTTTCTCAGGCTCAGCAGAGCCTTAGAGGAAGGGTTTATTCCAGGAACCAGCATCACCCGAGGCTGCTAGGCACCTTGGCTGACGGGCCCTGGTGGCAGTGCCCACGCAGGCTGGCATCTCCCCTGGAGGAGCAGGTTCTGCAATGGGGCTGTTGCCCATGGCCAGTAAAACCCAGGGATGGCTCCGAGCATGCATGCGAAGTGGGAAAGCAAGGGTGTCGTTTGCCACGGCCACGGCATGCCAAAGGCGCTGTCGTTTTGAGGCCCAAGCAGCGCTCTGGCAGGGCAGGGCAGCTGGGTTAGGCTGGGCCAGAGGTGTTTCACCCATCTGGGGACCCCTTGAGGACTCTCTCAGAGCCCTCCCGCTGCTCCCAGGGGCCTCAGCAGCTGGACTGGGAGGTGGCTGCTGGACTGGGAGGTGGCGCTGGCAAAGGCAGTGCTGCAGTGGGAGGGTGGTGGGCAGGGCGGCTCCTGGGGGGACACTTTGAGCCTCCAAGGGCCAGCAGTGGTGTGGGTTGCAGGCACAACGCGGGCCG